AGGGAGAGCCTTTAGAACTCAGTGCAAGTTTGCCCTCTGTGAAGGGTAGGGGGAAGAATGGATTACAGTCTCTTCTTACAGCGTTTCTCTAAGAAAATCGTTGACCAGAACAATGCAGTGGGGACAGGTGGTTTGAGCTAAAGTTGTCCATTAGAGGAATCTTGCCTGAGGCAAATGGTCCTAGTCTAGTAAACCCACCATGATCCGTCACTGGTGCAAACAGCCCAGAGGTAACCGTGGTTCAGAGCAGATGCAGAGGGACATACTGAGGTGACAGTTGGCTGTGTTCTACAGTGCCCTCTCTAGAAAGAGCATCCACAGTTACCTGTTTGTCACTAGAAACAATGATTCTTATTAAAGAAGAATATTTACTTAAATGAAGCATGATCTGTTAATATTCCTCCAATTCGCCATTGAGGGGAAAAATATGACGTTGTTAGATAGGACATTGTTCCTTTTCCATCCTCTCATTTTTCAGACTGTGCTTTGGCTCTGTCTGCATTTGCGAACAGAAATCCTGTGTATCCGTTCATCTTCTCAGGGCCTTCTCTAATTATCAAAGGCCTCCTCGCTAAAGTTCTGAAATTATCATTTTCTTTTAATGTCACTTCCTCAAAGTAACTTCCCTTGATCTTTTTCACTTTTTTCCCGCTTCATCTACCTTATTTTTCTCCTAAACACTTATTTTTTTTTTCCCTCCAACACACGGATTACTCTCCATCATTATATACTTACTCGTTTGCTTAATTGATGACTTTCTGGGACCCCTTTTAGAATGGAAGTCACATGAGCTCAAGGAGCCTTCTTTGTCTGTTCATTGGTGTTTCTTCACATTCATCAAATACTGCCTGGTATACAGTATGTACATTATAGATGATGGCTGAATAAATAAATCAAATCTAGGAAGGCCAACTTCCCTCTACATGTCTAAAACCAGCCCTTGGGGTGAGAAATGTGGAGAGAGAGAAAAGATGTTCTCCCACTTACATGATGAATACCTCACAATCATCCTATAAACCAAGCATTAAAATCCTCATTTTACCACCACTACCACCCAAACAAAACAAAACAAAACAAAACAAAAAAGCCAAAACCCTATTTTACAGCTGAGAAAGCTGAGGTTGATAGAAGTTAAGGAATATTGAAAAGGTCGCCCAGCTAGTAAACTGTAAAGCTGTAAATCCAGTTCCAAAATATGTGCTCTCAACCAATATAAAACACTAAACTCAAAAAAAAAAAAAATCTAGCTTATAAATACATTAGGTTCTCAGAAACACTAAAACTACTCAATTTTCAAACTTCTTGAACATAATGACTCTTAGCATCAATCTACATAATTGCCAAATTATAAAACAGGCATTGTGAATAATCCTAAAGCACTTTTGAATTTTCCAACCCAAAACTGATTGCTTCCTCTTTTTGCAAAGTGAAGTAAAACTGTTTGCTAATCAGGCCTCCATAGGGTTTAAATGTTCCACATAGAATATTAGAAATCTAGAGAACCATTAAGTCATTACCTAGTGCCAAATTGAGTGCTACAGTGTATTTTTCTGGTATTTTAACCTGTCTAGCATCTAATGATTCAGAAAGTGTTTCTTTTATTTAATCCCTCTCAGGATTTTTTTCACTCACTAGAAGCTACTAATAACCTCCCTTGTCAGGAAAGCAAGTTTCTTCAGATACCTGTAAGTAAGTCTCTTCAAATACCTGTCAAATGATTTCATGTGGTTAATCTAAAGCAAAGTTTCTTTTTTTTTTCAAGGAGCAGAATCATTCTGGAAAGAATACAAGAAGGCACTCAGCTGGGAAGAGTTTAATTATTATTAGCACATCCAGTGCTAGCAGGAGTGTGTCAAAGCCACAAATCAAACACCAGCATCTAAAATCAAATGCATTCCAACTTAAATTCTAGTCTTCAGTTAACCTGATTGCTTATTCAATTTTCTTATTTATTTAATGAAGCTCTGAAACAGGGCCCAGAAAATATTTGCATACAAAATATTATTTGAAAAATAAATAAAGCCTTGGTAGAAAGTTACAATCATACCCAGCTACCTCTGATGTTCCTCAAAGCATGCTGTTTGTCCTGCTGATTGCTGACCTTCTCTTTTCAAAGGATAATTCTTGTGGCTTGGCATTTAGCATGGTAGGATTGCTAAATTACTGAAAGGTGGGGTCTATCTGATTTATCAGCCAGGGATCCTGACAAAAGCTGGTTTTATTGTTCTCACATATCTTTTTTTCAACATCTGCACAGAAATATATTCGTAAGAGAAAATCATCTTTTCAATAAAGATGTGAGACTGGTTTATTTCATTTGATGTGATAATCTCTAGTTCCATCCATCTTCCTGCAAATGACATGATTTTGTTCTTCTTTATGACTGAATAATACTCCATTGTGTATATATACCACACTTGCTTTATCCATACCTCCGCTGACAGGCACTGAGGCTGATTACATAATTTAACCAATGTTAATTATGTCTCTAAACATGGGTAGACAGTTATTGCTATAGTGTGCTGATTTTAATTCCTTCTCATTTGTACTGAGGAGCAGTACAGCTGAATCACATGGTAGTTCCCGAGGACCCTCCACACTAATTTTCATAGCAGCTATACTAATGTACCTTCCCACCATCAGTGTAAAGGGTTCCTCAGAAAGACACATATTGTATTTTCTTTCATACGTAGAATATGGTGGAGGGAACAACATGACAACATGAAAGTAGAAGGGAGACTATTAGAGAAGAAAAAATGGGTGGAAGAAGAATGATGGGGGAGGGTGGATATGATCAAAGCATGTTATGCGCACGAATGAATATGCCACTGTGAAATCCATTATTCTGTGTAATAAATATGCATTAATTTAAAAAAAGTGAGTGTAGAGGTGGGG